TGTGAACCTTTTCGAGTTGCAACAATTTTGAATCTAACACATTTGATCATTTTTCATTTTTTATAGAGTTATAACAATTTATGATTCAGAAATAGAGTTACACATTTTGTGATAATGTTACATATTTTTGTAGGAATGTTACATATTTTTTTATCCAAACATTTTCTAACCAAAAAATGTGTAATATTATCACAAAAATTTCTAATATTTTCACAAAATGCATAATTTTATTTCTGAACCACAAATTGTCGTAAATCTATCAGAGAAAATATGTAACATTTATCATAAAAATACATGATATATATATATATATATCACAAAATTGCATAATAATAGCACATATAATACACATTTTTTTGAGGGGTGTATACATAACATTATCTTAAGTGATAAATGAAACAACCAATGACATATCACAGTTTAACTTGTTAAAAAACAGAAAATATATATATACATATATGTACAAAAGTGGGGAACTTCCAAATAAATCACATTTTTTTCAATTATTTTTTTTTATTTTTTATTTTTATCTTTAGTGATTTTTTTTTTTCAAAATTATATCCAAAGTTTTTAATTTTCCAGTCCATCTTGGGTCGACAAACCTAAAAAGTAAAATTATTTTGAAATTTTTTTTAAAAAAATCCAAATTAAAAAAGTCCATTATTTTAGACTTATTTTTGCCATTTTAAACTATTTTTAAGATTAATTTTTTTTTTAGTTAATCTGTAAAATCTAAAATCTTAAAGTTAAAAAAAAAATTATAAAAAAGTTCAGTAAAATAAAATAAATGAAAAAAAAGTAGGGGGAAGCACCAATAAATTCCAAAAAGTGATCCTGTGAACTATTTGGTCCTTTTTTTTTTTTGTTTTTAATGAACCCAAATGTCTCATTCTAGTGTGAATTACATAAAGGGCCAACCATAAACGCTTGTGTTATGTATTGAGGAACAAATATGAGTTTTCTCATAATCTTGAAAACATTACAAATGTAACACTTCAAAAAAAAATCTTATTATACTTTTCCGAACGTAACACTCCAATGTAACACTTCGAAAACGTAACACTCTAATATAATACGGATTTGGGGTGGCTGCTGTGCGGGATGCACAACAGCCATTGTTGTGCATCCAAATGGGCCCATTTCGCGACCCATTTTGATAATCCGAACCATTCACATCTTAGAATATATCAAGTAGAATATACCTGTAAAAAATCTTATAAATAACAATTATGTTTTAAAGTATTAAAATGAATACAAATGTGAGTGGGTGAAAGAGTAAACGATATCCAATTAACTTGATTTTTTACAGGTATATTTTACTTGATATATTTTAAAATGTGAATGGTTCGGATTATCAAAATGGGTCCCGAAGCCCATTTGGCTACACAACAGTGGCTGTTGTGTACTCCACACAGCAGTCACCCCAAATCCATATAACACACTAAAAAATTCCTTAGTGTATGTTTCTTAAATGTAATAACGTATCATTCTACAAATATTTCTTACTATATTTTTCCCAACGTAATACTAATGTGCTATATAAGTGCACTTTTTGACTTTTTAGCCAAAAAAGTAGAGAAAAAAATATGTATGTTTGGGATAACTTTTTTATCTTTTTAGGAAAAAATATGTAATAAAATCAAAATGACCATTCTACCCTTATTGACTTTTTGACTTTTAATTTTTTGACTTTCGAATAGTTAAATTCAAAGAGCAAAATAATAATTTTGCCCTCTAGGCTTCCTCTACAGCTCCCCAAATAGTATGAACTTTTTAACTTTTTTATTAATTTTTTGTCTTTTTGACTTTTGTAGGTTATCCCAAACTAAGCATAAACGTAACACGCTAATGTAACACACTAAAAAAACTCATTAGTGCATTTTTTTTTTAAACATAACACTTCAATCAATATAATATACAAAAACTCCTTAGTGTACTTTCTCCAAACGTAATAGTCCAATGTAACACACTAAAAACCTCCTTACACTGTGTTTAGTTGCAAGATTTGGGAAGAGATTTGAAAAGGAAAAGATAAAATGTGTATGAAATTAGGTGAAATATAGGTATATTTTATTCACATTTCATCTACATTTTTCATTTTCCTTTCCAAGTCCCTCCTTAAATCCCCCAACCAAACACAGGATCAGTGTATTTTTTTTCAAACTTAACACTCTAATTAATGTAACACACAAACACTCTTTAGTGTACTTTTTCTAAACGTAGCACTCTAATATAACATTCTAATGTAACAACAGAAAATCACACAAATAAAAATGTAAATTTCTACTCTTGACAATCAAATCTTCAACCACCAATCTCTCCTAAAAAGAATCTTTCACACTTTACGTTTCCATTTCCATCCCCAAAATGAATCAGAAAATTAAAAAAATAAATCATAAAAGAGTATTTACTTAAACTCAAATGACACCAAATCAAATAAATATAAGTTTTCAAATGAAATATGATTAATTGGTTCCAAAAAAAAAACTCTTAAAATTAAATGGATCAATATTTTCTCATATGGAATTTATGAATAAATTTTCCAAAAAAAAAAAGAAGCTAAAAAAACGAACCCTTAAACATAAATTTAAATAATTTTGAATAAATATTGACTCTCTCAAACTTTCCGGTTCCAGTTACAGAAGCAACATTTTTATGAAAAGAAACTCTATGTTGTTTACCCGCTAGACAATGAACACAAGTTTTAAGATATGTACCTTTCAAATTGGGTAGAAGCTCTTTCTTGAACAAAACTTGCAGCCCCTTTTCACTCATATGACCAAGCCGCTTGTGCCATAATTCGGTAGAAGTATCTTCTTCAAGTGCATTGACAACAGCTTTACAAATTTTTCCTTGCATCGAATAAAGTGTATGAGTCTTCTTGCATTTAGCCACCACCAAAGAACCCTTCGTGAGCTTCCATATTCCATCACCAAATTTGTTGTTGAAGCCTTCATCATCTAGCTTCCCAGTAGAGATCAAATTGAGGCGAATGTCGGGAACATGCCTCACATCTTTAAGCAACAACTTGCAGCCCAAATTTGTTTCCAAGCAAACATCACCCATGCCAATAATCTTGGACAAACCTTCATTACCCATTCGAACAAAACCATAATCTCCTTCGGTGTAGGTAGTGAAGAAATCAACTCGAGAAGTCACATGAAAAGAAGCACCAGAATCAATCACCCAATTGCTCTCTTGGCCCACAAACTTGATACAATCATCTTCACAAACGACCATGAGATCATTGGTAGTAACTGCCGTTGTGTCTTCTTTCTTCTTATCCACACTTTTTTCACGCATTTTCTCCTTGTTCTTGAGCTTTCGGCATTCTCGCTTCATGTGCCCTTTCTCATGGCAATAATGGCACTCAATGTTTTTCTTTGAAAAGAACCATCTTTCGATTTGTCACGACTTTGATCACGATCATGAGGAGTCTTACTCCTCTCCCTTGTTTTGCTTCGACCTCTCATAAATTTGTCACGGCTTTGATCACGACCATGAGGAGTCTTACTCCTCCCCTTTATTTTGCTTCGACCTCTCACAATGAATGTTTCCAAATGAGAGGAACCCACTGATTTTCTTCTAGTTTCTTCATTCAACAGGCTAGTAGTGACTTGGCCCATTGTGACAACTCCATTGGGCGCCGAATTACTGACGGTCATAACCAAAGTCTCCCAACTTTCGGGCAAAGAGCTAAGTAGCATCAAAGCCTGCAACTCATCATCAAAAACAATTTTCATAGAAGCAAGTTGGTTAACAATACTCTTTATTTCATTCAGATGTTCCGGAATAGGGCTGCCCTCTTTATATTTTAAATTAACCAACTTACGAAACAGAAAAGCTTTATTTGTGGCTGATTTCCTATCATAAAGGCCCTCTAATTTTTTCCATAAATCATGTGCTGAAGTTTCAGTAGCAACATGATGAAACACACTGTCATCAATCCATTGACGGATAACACCAACGGCTTTTCGATTAAGCCTATTCCATTCATCATCTTTTATACCCTCGGGTTTGCCAGAATCACCCTCAATGGGTCCATATAGATCTTTACAAAATAATAGATCCTCCATTTTAGTTTTCCAAGTTACCCAATTGCTTCCATTGAAGCTAGACATACGACCCACATTCCCCTCCATTGATTTACATAAATAAATAAACTTAAATAGACCTTAAGCTCTGATACCAGTTGTTAGGGAAAATATGTGATTCCCCACAAGTAAATCAATCAATGGGAATAAAAACTAATGCGGAAAAATTAAATCAAAAGCAACACAAGAATTTTTACGTGGTTCCCTCAATGTGAGGTACGTCCACGGGATCGAAATCCGATTCCACTATCAACCAAATAAGTTTCAAATGATTACAAACGAGACACGAATGGTCTCACAAAACCACCCTTAGGTGAATTCCAAATAATCACAAATAAACAAAGAGGAAAGACCTCACCAAATAGATGAACCAAAATCTTCAGAACCAAAGTTGAAGAAGATCCCAAATCAGAATCAAACTAGCATCAATTTAATAACACTAGGCTCTAAGAACAAACCTCACCGAAAGTTGAATCAATCCTTGCTGCTCCTCCGCACAGCAAGCTTATGTTTGAAGAACAAACCCACAAATACACCAAGCACTATTTCAGCAAATATATGAATTAGCAACCGCATATTATTCCACCGAATTGAATTTTCAATTCTCTAAGCCACTGCCGCCACTTATGTCTTGGGAAAAACAATACCCCAATAAAAATATTGTAGATCTAGGGTTTATAATCAAACCTTAGTTGTTTCCAAATTGGATTAGGTCTCCACAAAATTAGATATAATATATAAAAATATATTATACCTAAACCAAACCAAATTAAAACTCTTTTAGTAAACCAATTGGGTCCCACACTCCAATAAGGAGGTATACCCAACATTTTCATATACAATCCGATTCTGGGTGAGTACATTACTTTTCCCATCCTACATCACCATGGAAATTATGATGCTACTATGACTGCTTTTGGGTTTAGTCTCAAGACTAATCAGGACAAGGTGGTTCGGTTTTTTCTTCAAGAGGTTGTTTATATTGACCACGATACTCAGATGGGTTCTTATCGTGAGGAGGCACAGGCCAAGATTTACGCAATTGGTGGAGAAGGGTTGTGGAGGAATATGGGTAAGGTACCTTATCATTTGACAAACCACTTTCAATTCTTTCATGAAGGGAGCTATTCTTTGGCTTAATTCCAACCATGATAGTCCCGGCTTCATTCGTTGTTTCGATTTTGGGACACAGGAATTTTGGGTTGTTCCTCAACCTCTTGAGTTTGGTCTGCATAGAGAGTTTTGAGGGCATAAATGTGTCGGTGTGCCGCAGGATAGTCTGTCCATTTGTGAATTTTCTATTCATTGTGGTATTGATATATGGATAATGAAAGAGTGGCAATGAGGAGACTTGGAGCAAAGAGTTTGTTATTGGAAATGTGGTTAGTAATAAGAAGGGGGGGTTTTTGATTGTTATGAGCCAATTATGATTCCAAAGACGGGGGAAATTTTGATGCTTTGCATCAAGGATGGTCTTGTGCTGTATGATCCTAAGCTAGGTGGGTTTAAGAAGTTAAAGTATTTATTGGATCAAATCAGAATTTTATGGGGCTGCTCATAATCCGAGCTTCTATTCCCTCTGTGATGTTGCCGAAGGAGAATACTTCTCTTTGATACGTTGCCAAAGGACAAAAGGTTGAAGGTAAAAATTCAGATAATCTAACACTATGTTTGGGAACCTATGAAAGAAAAGAAAAGAAAAGATTATTTAAGTAATAACAGAAAAGTAAAGAAAAGAAATGATTGTGATTTCTCTCATTTTTGTTTGGATAAGGAAGAAATAAAAGAAAAGAAATGATTGTGATTTCTCTCATTTTGGTTTGGTTAGATTTTATTAAGAGAAAAGAAAAGAAATTATTTTATGTTATATTATCAAAATAACCTTTTTATATTTTCAATCATTTTATTTCTTTTATTTCTATAGGGACAAAATCGGTATTATAAAAATAGTGATCTATTTTCTCTCCCAATCTCTCCACTTTTACACTATGTTTGGATTGAGTGATAGGCTTATAAGATAAATGAACTTCTCTCAATTTCTTCTCATTTCTCTTTACTTAAGTTATCCAAACAAATAAGAGAAATACATATCACTTTATTTCTTTTATTTTCTCTCCAAATCACTCAATCCAAACATAGCGTAACTGTTATATAGCTTTTGATTTACAATTGAGCGGTTGGTTGGCTATTATATTGTTTTGGCTCCACTAATATTGTAGCTGCTTACAAGCACTCATTTTCATGTTGATGTTTGTGTTTAATTTATGGAATCTTTAAAATTTTATGCTTCTTTGGAAAATGACATAATATTCCTGTAAAGTTTTTGGGAATCCACTATTCTTGTAGTAATAATTTTATTTCATTCACTAATGCTCCATTTATCTTGATTGGCAACAAGAACGAGGGCATGGCTATTCGGAAAACCAGATCCAAACAAAAGCCTGATGTTCGGTATTATGTAGCTGAACAAAAGGTATATGTTTGGTTGTGGAGCACCGAACATATTGAACAAGTTCTGCTCTGTGTAACCAAATGAAGAGAAATCGACAGGAAGAGAGAGAGAGAGAGAGAGAGAGAGAGAGAGAGAGAGAGAGAGACACACACAAAAGAGAGAAAAAAAAATCGACCAACCTGTGAAGTGGAGAGAGAAATTGACGGGGAGAGAAATTGAGAGAGAGAGAGAGAGAGAGAGTCATGCACCAAAGGGAGAAAAGAGAGTAGGTTTCGGAGGATGAAGATGAAGATCGTGAAAGAGAGTTAGCAAATCAATCGTTCCTTTTTAGCTGCTGCCACCAAAACCCTAACCTTTGTCGCCATTGATAGTTTTGTGAATAACACGTGGTAGTGAGAGGCTCGTTAGAGGAGGAAAATAAAAGAGGTGGGTTGGTCGTCGGAGGCTGCCGATAGAAGTGGAAGTAGTGGTGGGATTAGGATTAGGGTTAAACTTGGGAGGATAGGATGGGGACAAAATTGGAATTTGATATTAGGACAAAATTGTAATGAAATAAATATTAAAAAGAATGAAGGATCCAAAATAAAAAGATAAAGGCATTTAGCAATTCTCTAATTATATACATGATTCTATTTACATACTAAATATTACATTATATTTATTTGTACAACATTTTTTTTCTTAATGTACAAGTATAGTGTAATAAGAAATTTATTGAGTGTAAATAGAAGGTGTCTAATTATTTTACATATTTTTATGTCTATTGTATTTATTGTATTGTTTTATTTATTTTTTGCAATAATTTTGTGCTCAAACTCTATTTGTAATCCTTTCCAAAACAAAGTTTGACCTTCTCCCACGCACTAAGGCCTCGTTTGTTTGGAGAGTTAGATGGGGGATTGAGGTTAGTAGTGAGGTGGGATCTATTAATATTGTGTTTGTTTTGAGAGATGGGGAGGGGATTGATAGTGAACTCCGGATTAAGATGAGCCTTCCCAAGGGAATTCACATGGGTCTCCAGGACTTGGTATTAGAAAAATAGTCCGGCGAACTAGAAATTTTTTATTTTTATTTATTTTTTATTTTATTTTTTACATGTCGGGCATTTTTTTTTGAACATTGGGGTTTGGCATAAACTAAGACCTTGTTTGGCATATACTAAAAAAAAGTTAAAAAGTCAAAAAGTTACTATTCTATTTAAGTCACATCATCTTATTCAAATCACATCATTTCTCTATTACATCACTTCAAATTTAACTCATATTTCATAAAAAGTTAAAAGGTACACTTATTTAGAATATTTCAAACAACTTCTAAGGGGGGTTTGGTAAAGACTTATTTAGTTAGCTTTTTAATTTTTTTGAATTTTTTAGCCTGAGGTTTTTTTGTTTGTTTGGTTTTCTTATTTGGTTTTTTTAACTTTTTTTTCATTTGAATGACAAAAGTGCCCTCTACTTGGAAATGATGCTTTGTTGACTTTTTGTTTGTATATGGGTTAATTTGGTAATTTTGTATCCCAACTTAAAGTGTTTTGTCATTTTGTGATTTTGTAATTTTTTGTTTTTGTCTTTTTGTGATTATTTGGCCAAAAAAGAAAACCAAACCGGAGCTAAATAAGTGCATTTTTTTGTATACTTATTCGGGTCACATCAATTAACATTTTATTTTTACATTTTTATACATTTTTTTATAAAAAATCAAAAAATATATTTATTTAAAACATTTCAAGTCAATGTGAGTTTGCTTACTTGGTAGTTTTTTTTAAGCTTCCAAATTCAGTTGAACGAAATAATCAAAAAAATTTAAAAATTATGAAAGAATTAAAAAAGTAGTTTTTTTTGGACTTATTTTAGTAATTTTTTGGGACTTATTTTAGCTTTTTCATTTTTATTTTTTTACTTTTTAGATTTGTTACACAAAATGATCAGAAAAATAAAAAATTTTAATACTATAATTTAAATAAAAAAAATCAGTAAAGATAAAAAAAAAATTAAAATAAAAAAATTGGTCTAACTAACTAATTAGCTGGCATCCAAACAGACAAGAAATCAAACCCTGTCCGGATTAGGAAACAGAGAGTTCCATTCCTTGGCACTTCCAAATCCTAAAATGATTCAATTTCACATTGACTCTCACTCTATAGCTGGCATTTGGAGGGCTACAGGATGCCCTGCAAGAAAGGGGCACGAGGATCCGGATTCCTATATAAGCACCCCTAACCATCATTGCCTACAAACCCAACTCTCGCTCTTCTCTCTGCTTTTTTAGTTTCGATTACTGCATATACGCCTCCTCGTCCTTCTTTCTTGTTCTTGTTCTTATTCTTCAATCAAGCAATGGCTGGTGACGATTCCCCGAAAGATTATCCTGGAAAACTTACTTGGTATGTCGTCGTAACTTGCATCGTCGCCGCCATGGGTGGTCTGATTTTTGGCTACGACCCCGAAAGATTATCCCGGAAAACTTACTTGGTATGTCTTCGTAACTTGCATCGTCGCCGCCATGGGTGGGCTGATTTTCGGCTATGACATCGGCATCTCTGGTAAGCCCTTCTTCAACTTAATAAATCTTCAATTCTTCACAGTTCTGCTACTGTTGAAAAATCAATCTTGTCTATTCATATATATATGATATTGATTACTGGTGTTGCTACGATGATTAGGTGGGGTGACATCGATGGCTCCGTTTCTTGAGAAGTTTTTCCCGTCTGTGTATCGGAAGGAAGAACTCAATCAGTCAAGCAATCAGTACTGCAAGTTCAACAGCCAAACGCTGACCATGTTTACGTCGTCTCTGTATTTGGCTGCTCTTTTTGCGTCCTTCTTGGCGTCGACAATGACCAAGAAACTGGGCCGCAAGTTTTCCATGCTTATGGGCGGTTGTGTCTTCTGTTGCGGTGCTCTTCTCAATGCCTTTGCTGTACACCTCGCTATGCTCATCATCGGTCGAATTTTGTTAGGTGTTGGTGTTGGTTTCGCCACTCAGGTAATTCATTCCTAAAAACGAAAGCTCTTTCTTTCTTTCTTTGCTCCAATATTATTACTACAGTCACACTTTGAACACAATAACGAAAGCTCTAACTTGTTTGCTTCAAATTACATTACAGTCAGTGCCACTGTTTGTATCGGAGATGGCTCCACATAGATACCGCGGAACCCTCAACGTCTGCTTCCAACTATTCATCACAATCGGCATTTTGATTGCCGGTCTGGTCAACTACTTCACCAACATGATCAAGGGCGACTTGGGCTGGCACATCAGCTTGGGCGGTGCCGCTGTTCCAGCCGTCCTCATGATCTTCTCATCTCTCTGGGTCTCCGAAACCCCAAACTCCCTCATCGAGAGAGGCCATTTGGACAAAGCCAAGAAGCAGCTCCAGCGCATCCGTGGAGTCGCCGACGTCCAAGCCGAGTTCAACGATCTGGTGGATGCGAGTGCAGCCTCAAAGGAAGTGGAACACCCATGGAGAGACCTATCCATGAGGAAGTATAGGCCTCAGCTTTGTTTGGCTATTTTGATTCCCATGTTTCAGCAACTCACTGGGATCAATGTGGTTATGTTCTACGCTCCTGTGCTGTTCAAGACCATTGGGTTTCAGAGCAATGCTTCGCTTGCATCGGCCATGATCACCGGTGGTGTGAATGTTCTTGCCACATTTATCTCTGTTTTTGGGACTGATAGGTGGGGGAGGAAACCCCTGTTTCTATGGGGAGGTGGCACCATGATTGTGTTTCAGGTAATCCTTGTAACCAATTCTTTTTCTCCATCGTCTTTCTATTTATGTATTGAATTTTTTTTTAATTGTTTTTTTCATGTATGTATTATTTATATATGCAGAGTGCAGTAGCAGTTCTTATTGGTACTAAGTTTGGAGTAACAGGAGATGCTACCGATTTGGGAACACTATATTCAAGCATCCTAGTATGTTGTATCTGCATTTTCGTCACAGCTTTTGCATTCTCATGGGGTCCTCTGGGATGGTTAGTGCCCAGCGAAATCTTCCCTCTAGAAATTCGGTCATCTGCGCAGAGTATCGTCGTGGCCGTGAATATGTCATTCACTTTCCTCGTTGCCCAACTCTTCCTTGCTGCTCTTTGTATGGTCAAGTACGGCTTATTCATCATCTTTGCAGGTTTAGTGCTAATCATGAGCCTCTTCGTCATCTTCTTCGTGCCGGAGACCAACAATATACCCATCGAGGAAATGTCACAAGTGTGGTCTTCTTCACAGGGATGGTCTTCGAGGGATGGTCTTCGACGTCGAAAAAGAACGTCTGCGTGCTGTCTCAAAAACAGGGGCTTTGGGGGAAAAAAAACTGAAGAAATTTGAAAAAAGGTACCGGTTGAACAGGTTGTGAATATTCCTAATTAAATTAATCGATGGCTGAGATTAATTTATAAAAATCTGATGATTTAAAATAGATGTGTATATGATGTGCACATCTTATTGAGGTGCACATCTTAGCAGCTCCCTTCTTTTATATAAATTTTACTAGTCTTATTACATTTATTTGTGTTTGTGTATGTTTGCAAGTGTTTCTATTGTTTTTATTTTATTTTTTGCTTCACCTTTGTGAGCAAGGTTGCTTTTGGCGGGGCAACAATATTATGAATTTAGACTTAATTGCTTGAAAATTATGAATCTCACAATATACAAATTTAATCTCTATCATATAATCACTCACCCATAAAAGTCTTGGTGATTTCACAGTTGGAAAAAGTTACATTTATTTTTTCAAACTTTTGTTTTTTAGTAATTTTTTAAAATTTATGTCAAATTTATTATTTTTCAATTTAGTCTAATTTAGAAGGAATTAAAAAAAAATACAACAAAATAAATAACTTTTTTCTTTCTTTCTTTAAATGGCTTTTTGCTTTTTGTTTGTTTTAGGCCCATCTCATCTAGTAAAATCTAAATGTGATTTTTTTTAAAATAATAAAAAAAAAAATTCACTAAATTAATATATTTAGCATACATGAAAGATTTGGTTATTCCATACTCCATGTTTGTTGAAAAAGGCAGTCTTTCTGGTAGTTTTCCTTAATTTTTTTAAATTTTATTTGGTTGCCTAGCATTGTTTTTTGTTTTGTATTTTCTAATATTAATTGTTGTAGTTGGGCTATAAGAAAGCTTTATCCAAAAATAATTCTACACATAAAAAATTTGGATTTTACAACAAATCAAGTTAAACTTGTTAAAAGTGCATTTAAGATCGCTTGTTATTTAAACAAATCAAACTTGAATACAATTTCAAGCACCAAAATTACTATTATTCTACTTGGTAATCTTATTTTACATTATAAAAATCTAAGCCACTATAATCATTTAAGATCGACTTGAAAATCAAATTTATTATAACATATAAGAGTTTTAGGAACCGACTTTTGTATAAAAAAATAAAAATTTTGCTACAAAAAAAACATTTGAGGGACTAATAACTTAGAAACAAAATAATTTGATTAAAAAAATAAAATAAAATTTGAGACATTTGAATAACGAAACAAGAGCTCAATCGGTATCAATATGGGTCGTGCTAGGGAGCTCGAATCTGAGCTCCCCCGAATGCCCCGAATTCCATTTTTTTTTTTCAGTAGAAGGAAGAAGAAGATTTTAGAGGGATATGGTACTCAACGGGTTCTACACATTGAATAATTTGAATTATCAAAACGGGACCCAAAATTGGACCCCTGAGCCAGAGTGGACAGTCCAACCTTAATCTTAAATATGAGACAAGCCGACCCATCTTCATTGATTTACAATTCCCATTCTTTATTTGCTCCCACAACAACAAAGACATAACCTGGGCGTGTAGAGTATAAGATATTAATATTGGAATAATGTTTGAGAGCTCGAAAAAAAAAAAAAAAAAAAAGCCTAATGCCCAAAACGATCGTTTTGGGCATTAGGGGGATTAGGGGAGTTCATTTTCGAGCTCTCAAACATTATTCCAATATTAATATCTTATACTCTACACGCCCAGGTTATGTCTTTGTTGTTGTGGGAGCAAATAAAGAATGGGAATTGTAAATCAATGAAGATGGGTCGGCTTGTCTCATATTTAAGATTAAGGTTGGACTGTCCACTCTGGCTCAGGGGTCCTGTAACGCCCTCAAAATAACAACAATAAACCCATCAGATAAGACATGCATTTACATATAAACTAACCACACTCTTTTATTCATTAGAGCTCCATTACATAAGTATTACATGTTAACATCATAACAAAATGCCCTACAGGCTTACAGCTTTCCAAGTTAACACTTGGTTACAACAAAAGAGTACTAACTCGTTTACACATTAAGCCCTAGGCTTGAAGTTACATGTAATACATCAAAAGTTAAGCGACAAAAGTATGTCCGCCACTAGCCTCCCAGCTATGTCCTTGGAGGTGGCATGCTTCCTGCACCTGAAAATGATATTCCCATATAGGGTGAGCCACAGCCCAGTAGAAATGATCCCGTTTTGATAATCCAAATTATTCAATGTATAGAACCCGTCGAGTACCATATCCCTCTAAAAAATCACGTTAATCGGATATCGCTAGCTATTTGATCGGATCAAATTTTTTTCAATTGTTTATTTTTTTATACAAATCTAATCGATCAAATAGCTATCGATATCCAATCAACATGATTTTTTAGAGGGATATAATACTCAACGATTTCTATATATTAAACGAGCAAGGATCCTCTAGGGTATTTTTTCCCTAAAGTTTTCTAGAGTGGTGCATTGTGTGGTTGAGATTTAATGACAAGTCACATCAATTTTTCAACATTAAATTTCAACCACACAATACACCACTTTAGGAAACTTTAGGAAAAAAACACTCTAGAGGATCCTTGGTGATATTAAACGGTTCAGATTATCAAAATGGGGCCCAAAATGGACACATGGACCAGACTAGAAGGTCCATTCTTGATTTCAAACATGAGACAAGCTGGACCCAATGAAGATGACCTTCATGGTTGTACAAATTCTTTTGGATTAATTAGACTAACAGTTCCTATAGTTTGGGACTTGTGTCACTTTGGTCCCTGACTTTTCAATTGTGACATATTTGACCCTGAATTTTGAATCTTGTTTCAAATAAAGACAATTGAAAATATCATTTGATTTTTCAAGGGTAAAATCGTCAATTTGATAAAATATAAACTAATTTGATAAAAATAAATGTCAAAAAAATATTTTTAATTTTTTTAAAATGTAAAATTAATAAAAATTACATGATTAATTTTTAAAATTAATTTTAAATGATCATCATCCAAACACATAATAAAAATTAATTTGATAAAAAAAATAAATAAATGTCTACAAGACTTATCAATTTTACATAATTTTATTTTTAGTAGGTAAAAATAATTTTAAAAAATTCAAAAATATTTGTTTGACATTTATTATTGTCAAATTAGTTTATATTTTATCAAATTGACAATTTTACCGTTGAAAAATCTAATGATATCTTTAATTGTCCTTATTTGGAATAAGATTCAAAATTCAGGGTCAAATATATCACAATTAAAAAGTCAGAGACCAAAGTGATATAAGTCCCAAACTATAGGGACTATTTATGTAATTTCCCAATTCTTTTTCATATTGCCACTTCTTTCAAAATAAAATGATTTATCAACAAAATTTTTACACATAAAACTCGTATAAAATGATATGGCTATAATACTTTTATACACAAAGATTGAGATGAAAGGCCATAAAATTATACATAATTTTTTGGGAAAATTACCCATTAGTGATCCTATCAAAAAATTGTAGGTGTTTTAAAATATATCTCTTATCTGCATTTTTTATTTTTTATTTTTTATTTTTAAATCTCACACTAAATTGAAATTTTTCCTAATTTTTTATGAAAATTTCCACTACAACAAATGACACTTTTGGCGACTAAATTTAGTCGCCAAAAGCCACACTTTAGTCGTCAAAACTTTTACTGACCAAAATGTTTGGTCGCCAGATTAGTTGTTGAATAATTGTCGGGAAAGGTAATTGGCGACCAAAAATGGTTTAGTCGCCGAAAGTCCTCCATTGGCGATAAATTTTTTAGTCGCCAAAAGCTTTCAAATAAATTTAATATTGCATTTTCAGCGACTAAAATTTTCAATTATTTAGTTACTAAAAGTTTTAGTCGCCAAAATATTTTTTTGGTTCATCTTATTTCTTTTTAGCTACTAAATGTTTTAGTCGCCTAAAGTCTAATTTTCTTTTTTAGCTTATTAGTCGCCTAGAGTCTTCTTTTTTTTTTTGGGGGGGGTACTAAATATTTAGTCACCAAAATTTTTTATTTTGTTTTATTTTTTTTTAGCTACTAAAATGTTGGTCACCTAAAGTTACAAGTTTTGATAGCTTGCATTTATTTTGTATTCAAAAGATTTGTTTTCATTTTAATTTTTTAAGCTATTTTTGTTTTATTTTTTTTTTAGCTACTAAAATGTTGGTCACCTAAAGTTACAAGTTTTGATAGCTTGCATTTAATTTGTATTCTTTTTTGGGTTTTTAGTTTTTTTTTTTCATTAATACTTTAAGTTGTTCAACAAAAAACAAGGTTGTTAGGATTCTTTTATATAAATTTTACTAGTCTTATTACATTTATTTGTGCTTGTGTATGTTTGCAAGTGTTTGTATTGTTTTTATTTTATTTTTTGCTTCACCTTTGTGAGCAAGGTTGCTTTTGGCTGGGCAACAATATTATGAATTTAAACTTAATTGCTTGAAAATTATGAATCTCACAATATACAAATTTAATCTCTACCATACAATCACTCACCCATAAAAGTCTTGGTGATTTCACAGTTGGAAAAAGTTAAATTTATTTTTTCAAATTTTTGTGTTTTAGTAATTTTTTAAAATTTATCTCAAATTTTTTATTTTTCAATTTAGTCTAATTTAGAAGGAATTAAAAAAAAATTACAACAAAATAAATAACTTTTTTTTTCTTTCTTTAAATGGCTTTTTGCTTTTTGTTTGTTTTAGGCCCATCTCATCTAGTAAAATCTAAATGTGATTTTTTTTTTAAAATAATAATAAAAAAATTCACTAAATTAATATATTTAGCATACATGAAAGATTTGGTTATTCCATACTCCATGTTTGTTGAAAAAGGCAGTCTTTCTGGTAGTTTTCCTTAATTTTTTAAAATTTTATTTGGTTGCCTAGCATTGTTTTTCGTTTTGTATTTTCTAATATTAAGGCCAAGTTTGGGATGTTCTAAAAAAGCCAAAAAGCCAAAAAGTTACTCAAAAAGTTAAAAAGTTAACATTATTCACCAAAAGTCAACAATTACGGCTGCACAACTCCCAATTCAAATTTTTCTCTACAAA